GATCCCCATTGTGTCCATTCCAATCACTGCCAACAATGACAGAACATTCACACACAATCTGGGCATCTGGATAATATAGAAAGAAGTTTTCCACCTAATACTAATAAACTACGCTGTGAGGTTAATAATCAGCTTGCACACCCAACAATTATATTGGTTTATAGAGGTTCAGTAAATGCATTCTTTTAAAATCTTATGTAAATCACACTTCTATAAATTGAATCTCATTCGAAATGCACCAAAGGGCTATTTAAAGAAATGCCATATTGAAATTTTTCATAAAATCATCAGTCTTGAATTGTTTATATACTGGGTGTTCCTAAACCATGGTACACCTGGGAGACTCCTCCTGCAGAGCAGCATCTCTACGGTAGAGTGTCCATACCACAATGACAACGATAATGTTAAAATGCTTCATATCATCCTTTATTTTAAAAGCGCTTTACCAACATATACTAATCTTCACAACATTCAAGGGAGGTAGATAAGTATTACACCACTTTCACAGATGGAAAAACTGAGGCAGAAATTAGTAAATTGTATTGAAGGGCACAATATATGGCACAATTAGGAAAAAAAAGTGTTGGTCACAGATCACTGACAACCCTTCCCGTGACTTCTGAGTCCCACCAACACGAAAGTAGCAGACGCAGCATGGAAGAAAGTCATTAGTAGTCTGGCTAGTCTAAAGCTAAATTTTACCTTGTTGATCCCAGTTGTTGAATATGCTGTCCTTTGACAAGCATTCCTCTCACACACATTCTCACGAGCTCCCACCTCTAAACAGGGGAGAGTGGAAGCTATTGAAAGTGCAGAAGGAGGGGATGGAGAACAGGGCTGGGAAGGAGGAAGACAGAAGAGAAAACACAAATTGACAGCAAAGCAAGGCTGAGGAAGAACAAGAGGACCAACTGGGAACCAGCCCAACAGAAAGGAGAGCCATAGCAGAAAAGAAGTGTCATTCATTTGAAAAGCTTGGACATCCAGAAATGCAATTAAAAGGGTAATTCTAAGCAATGACATTACAGAGCCATTCCTCACGGCTTTGCCAAATATTATTATCAGGTCCCTCTGACATTCCCAGGAGGCCAGAATTATCCCTGTCCCCTGGTTCAGATCAAATGCTGATATAATTGACCTGGCATTGCAAAGGCTGTTGACAACTCAAATGCACACTCCCACCATACCTCTTCCCTTCCCCTGCCTTTTTAGACTCTTCACAACAAAACAAAAAAACCATTGCATTTGAAGATTCTCCTTGCAAAAATCCTAAAACATTTTCTAAATTTGTGATGCATAATAAGGTTTGGTTTTTGTAAAAGGGTTGTGATAGGTATATATGTGGATTAACAGTTCCTGTCAGCCAACGCTACTTTATACAACATGGGACATTTAAAACAAAAAGAACAAAAAAACTTCTGAAAGTTGTGAATGCCAAGTGTCTAGAGAAAAATAGGAGCTTAATGGAAAGGAAGAACCTTTTCTGATCTTTCTAGTGTGAAGCCAGTATGAACGATGGCAAGTGACATGCCAACAGCTGCAATGGAGGTACTGATGGCAGAGGCAGCACCAAATGAGTGGGGTGACCAAGGACCCTGCAGGGAGGGACTAAGGTGTCAGATGAACAGGTAGAGGTGGGAGCACTGGCAGCCGAAGAGGCAGAAGTCAGGACAAAGACGTGATAGCCAAAGAGAAGATGAGTGGAGGTGCTGGTGTTTGTGGCTAAGGGGAGACAGCAGTAGCACTGGTTTGTGTCTAGGCTTCTCCAAGGGCAGATCGGAGCCACAAATACATCCTTTCTTCTTTATTTCAATAAGTTAGCATCACTCTTTCAGGCATCTAGCTTTAAGACCTTACACCTCTGCAACAAAAGCAGTCAACTGCCAAGCCTTACTGATTCCACTTCGGCAATACCCTTAACATTAGTCTCTCTCTCATTTTTACTACAACCTCCTCTGGGTCCTCCTATTATCTCATCCTAACCAGGGCCAAACCCTCCTATCTGGTATCCCCAACCAGTCTTCTCTCCACTCAATCCCATCTTCTAATCTTCCTCCTGGGGCACAGTTCAGATCATGTAACTATCCAATTTGGAAATTCCCCACATTCTCACTGCCTCCCAACGATGTGTCTCATCATCTTGAATCAATAGGACCTTGCACCCAGTGAAGTTCCTCTGCTTTCTGAATCTCCACCTGCTAAGATGCCAACTCTAAAGACTTAGCTCAAATGCCACCTCCTCCATGAGGCCTCCCTTAAAGCTTCTTAGCTCTCTGCTCTGAGCTACAAGTGCACTTGAAGACCTGTGCTGATTAAGCACAAGATAGCTGTGTTCAAGCCTTATCTCCCCTACTGGGCCGTGTCCATAACTTGGCAGGGTGGGGATGGTAAACTGCATCTTAATATTTACCTGTCTATTCCGTACAGCACCTACCAAGAAATGGTTATTGCATTTCCAGCTCAGGTAAGGAACTGCTCAAAAGTGAGATGAATTGGGATGTACTTGTTCATGAATGGAGACACTACAATAAGTACCCCGTAATGTGATCTGGCTCTCAGGATAAAACAAATCCATTATAGAGCTCCAAGGGATGGGGTGAGGGTAGGCAGGAGGGGCTATGTAATTTGGAGTCAAGACACCTGAGATTGAGGTTCTGCTTTGCCATTCCCTAGTTATGGGCCCGGCAGCAGGTGGTTCTTCTCTGAGCATGATTTCCTTACTTCTGCATGGCCTCATGGGGGTAAGAATCAAATGAGACACATTTGTGAACTCTACATCAGTGGTTCTCAATCCTAATTATACATCATAATCCCCTATAAAGCTGGAAAATGCAGAAGACAAGGCCCTGACCCAGGTCAACTAAATCAGAATCCTCTGGAAGCAGGACCCAGTGGAACTAATTATTTATAAAACACTGATTCTAATGCATAGCCAAGGTTGGAAACTACTGTTACAAACTCGTAAATACCATTAACAGTAGAGCAAGGTGCTTTAGGCTGCTGGTTTAATTATCCTTTATTTGTTCAGTTAGGAATTAGTTCAATGCTTTTATAGTTCTATTAAAATACACTAGTGTAGGGCCGGCCCCGTGGCGCACTGCTGCAGTGCGCCGCTTGGGAAGTGCGGCGGCGCTCCCGCCAAGGGTTCGGATCCCACATGAAGACCAGTTCCCGCTCACTGGCTGAGCGAGGTGCGGGCGCGGCGCCGAGGGTTGCAATCCCATTGCCGGTCCCGGTCCGGTCCGGGCGTGACACTGAGGGTTGCCATCCGTTGCCAGACACGAAAAAAAAAAAAGGAAAAAAATAAAAAAATAAAATACACTAGTGTAGGGCTGGCCCCGTGGCGCACTGCTGCAGTGCGCCGCTTGGGAAGTGCGGCGGCGCTCCCGCCAAGGGTTCGGATCCCACATGAAGACCAGTTCCCGCTCACTGGCTGAGCGAGGTGCGGGCGCGGCGCCGAGGGTTGCAATCCCATTGCTGGTCCCAGTCCGGTACGGGCGTGACACTGGGGGTTGCCATCCGTTGCCAGACACGAAAAAAAAAAAAAAGGAAAAAAATAAAAAAATAAAATACACTAGTGTGTGTGAGCATTTTTTGTGGTGTCCTACATTGTTGTTTGTGCACTTAAGTCATAAGTTCTAACAGAGAGAGAGAATAATATCCAGCACTGCTATACAAAAAGATGTACCTAACACAATTCTTTTTTTTTTTTTTTTGAGAACAATAAATAAAAACTTCATAGGGTCCTCTAAAACCCTGCTTCTGAGTGAAGTGTGGTGACCAGACAAGCAGAACTGGCATAACCTGGGAGCTTATAAGAAATGCCAAATCTCAGGCCCCACTCCAGAATCCACATATTAATGAGATTTTTAGATGGATACAATATGTGAAGCAAAGGCAACCCTTTCTCAGTTCACATCTGTATTTAGGGCCTGCTGTTCCCCTGTCCTAATCCTGAAGGGGTGGTAGGGCATGGAGAGTCATTTCTGTCTTCCATAAACCATTGAAGCTTGGGACTTTATCCAGATGCTTCATGGTCTGAAGGGTCCATTTGGTAAAAACTAAATTAAGAACACAAATCCTTACAAAAGTATCCTTCCTTTCAAAGACAGTCTTCATAGGTTTCCTCCAAATAAACCATTCTTCTAAGACATTTAAAATACGATTCAATGCATAAAATAAATTGGTATCCATTTAAGTTTCATGCAGTACATAAACAAATATATGTGTACCTTACTGAACTTACAGTCCTCAGGACCCAAATTCCAAAATTATGAAGGAGGGAAGCTTAGCTGTTGCAGTAAACAATTGCTCCCTATTGACCCAGGCCCTCCAGACAATTATGATATTGGCAGTACCCATCCAAGACTATACAGACCACACCATAGCCAAGGAGTTGTAGTAGACTCTGAACATTATCTAGCCTAACTCCCTTGTTTTATGGACAGGAAATACCATGCAAAGAAGTAAAACGAGTTACGCAAGGTCACATAGCAACTTAAGGCAGAGCCAAGCATAGACCTCACTTGTCTCCTTGTCCTCGCTCCCTTATGTATCCTCTGCCACATATACTCCTCCTCCTTCCCCACAACTTGGCCTTGGAATCTCATTCTCAGAAATTGCTGACCTGCCTTGGCACTTAGTGTCACTTTGCTACTTCCAGCTACTGCTGTCCCCAACTCCCAGGGCTGTTTTAAACACTGTGCTGCAGGAGAAGCTGTATCACAGCTCAATCAAAATATCCATTTACCTATCCATATTTCCAAATATGTTGGTAATGGATTTTTAAAAAGCCACATGCTGTGTAATGCCAGCTACATAGTATTACTATAAGGGGGCACCATGAGCATGGTGAGGCAAGTACCTTTCCTTAGATGGATAAAGAATAAAATCAAGGGCAACCATTAACTCATTAGTACAACGCTGGAGGAAACTACAGAGAGAAGGCAAAACGAGATCACAGTTGGGAAGGCAGCACCTTTAAAAAAACATACACAGTGTGACTATAAACTTACAAGTCTTTTTTTTAATAAATCAAACATAACAGAGTGTAGAAATCTAAATGAACATTTCTCCCTCAAAGTAGTTACATCCTTAGTTCCAACAAAGCTACCAATGTTGGAGACATTTGGAATGTCTCCAACATTTAGGGAAAAGGCCTTAAAAGGCAGTTTATGAGCCACATTAGTAAATATCCTTCCAAATGTTGAGAGGTTTAAAAACAGAAAATCCACACTCAGGATGACAATGAAAAAATGAAAAAGGTGCTGCAGCTCTCCTGGAGGTTCCCTAAAGACCTCTAACAAGTTCTGAGCAACCGCATCACCACTGAAGACACATGGGGCCTCCCAGGACAGCCACTTTCAATGGGAGGGCATTCATCTGGATAGAAAAGTTCTGTCGTCTGTTTTTTTTTTATAAAAAAAAAAGAAAAAGAAAACTCAGCCACACTCCTTTATAGTCACACTTGCATTTGTTTAAAAAAAAAACACTCACACATGGTTCTTGTATGAATTCTAATTAACAGACATGACATTCAGAATTATAGCACTCGTGATAATTTTCAGAAGACTATAACAGCTTTTTTGCCACTTAAGGAGTACATAGGGTGCAGCCGTTTACCTGAATGTATTTTTAAATAAGTGACTACTACCACTCTAATTTTCCTAATTGTAGCTCTGTTACAGGTTACTGACCGCAAGTTCATGTTCCACACTTTCTTTGCCAACACAGATTAATTACAAGGGAGCCACCCCCAAAGTCTTAGGGTGAATTGGGAAAGGGCCGGTTAAATGAGGAAACAGGCCATTCCTTCGTAAAAGTTTGTAGCTTTCTTTCCCAATACATCTTCTTTTTATTGAGAACTTCCATTTTTATCCTGTGTTCCTCCTCTGCCATCTCACACTCTCGCTCTATCTGCTGGATTTTGGCCACATGCACCTCATTCATTTGTATCAGTTGCAGTTGTAAGATGGACATTTGTTGATGGTGTTCTTCCTCATGCATCTTTTTTAAAGCACCTTCCTGAGAGGTTTTGCTCCTGTAGTTTTTACTGGCTGTTATTCTGACAGCTGAACACGAGGGTTCAGGTTGAGAGGTCCCCTCACATACTGGAAAATGTATGAACTCTTTCTCATCATCGCACAGTTCTCTATTTGAAACAGCAAATGATTCTGAAAAACAGTAGCAGAAAACATATGTTCAAAGACTTTACAGGCAGAGAAAAAATTCAATCCTACTTCAAATGACAGGGTCCCTCATTACAGGATGTATCTAATATAGTATCTGCTTTGGCCTTCATGTCTACAGGTACTCTTGTCTCATCCGACTTTTTAAAAACCCATAAATCAAATGCAATTTTCCCTTAAGCAATAATGATAAAGGGTTTCATTATGTCATTTCTAGAACTGTGAGCTATGGGAACAGCGGTCAGAGACAGCGCTTGATAAGAATCAGAGACCTCACTGTTGATATAAATTCTAAACTGAAATGTGAACAAAGCTCATGAGCATAAGAATACAGTACGAGGCCAACAGTCGGGGTCTTCAGATTAAGTTCTCTATCAGTCTGATCACCTTTGCCTGTTTCTCACTCAGCCACAAACACATGTTCAATCTCCACAAGGGCACCCTTGCTATTTCCTGGTCACAGGTGTTAGCCCTTACCCTGGATGGCCACTTATAAATTTTCTTCCTTGATAGATGAGTCCACACCGGCTGTTTTAAACACTGTGCTGCAGGAGAAGCTGTATCACAGCTCAATCAAAATATCCATTTACCTATCCATATTTCCAAATATGTTGGTAATGGATTTTTAAAAAGCCACATGCTGTGTAATGCCAGCTACATAGTATTACTATAAGGGGGCACCATGAGCATGGTGAGGCAAGTACCTTTCCTTAGATGGATAAAGAATAAAATCAAGGGCAACCATTAACTCATTAGTACAACGCTGGAGGAAACTACAGAGAGAAGGCAAAACGAGATCACAGTTGGGAAGGCAGCACCTTTAAAAAAACATACACAGTGTGACTATAAACTTACAAGTCTTTTTTTTAATAAATCAAACATAACAGAGTGTAGAAATCTAAATGAACATTTCTCCCTCAAAGTAGTTACATCCTTAGTTCCAACAAAGCTACCAATGTTGGAGACATTTGGAATGTCTCCAACATTTAGGGAAAAGGCCTTAAAAGGCAGTTTATGAGCCACATTAGTAAATATCCTTCCAAATGTTGAGAGGTTTAAAAACAGAAAATCCACACTCAGGATGACAATGAAAAAATGAAAAAGGTGCTGCAGCTCTCCTGGAGGTTCCCTAAAGACCTCTAACAAGTTCTGAGCAACCGCATCACCACTGAAGACACATGGGGCCTCCCAGGACAGCCACTTTCAATGGGAGGGCATTCATCTGGATAGAAAAGTTCTGTCGTCTGTTTTTTTTTTATAAAAAAAAAAGAAAAAGAAAACTCAGCCACACTCCTTTATAGTCACACTTGCATTTGTTTAAAAAAAAAACACTCACACATGGTTCTTGTATGAATTCTAATTAACAGACATGACATTCAGAATTATAGCACTCGTGATAATTTTCAGAAGACTATAACAGCTTTTTTGCCACTTAAGGAGTACATAGGGTGCAGCCGTTTACCTGAATGTATTTTTAAATAAGTGACTACTACCACTCTAATTTTCCTAATTGTAGCTCTGTTACAGGTTACTGACCGCAAGTTCATGTTCCACACTTTCTTTGCCAACACAGATTAATTACAAGGGAGCCACCCCCAAAGTCTTAGGGTGAATTGGGAAAGGGCCGGTTAAATGAGGAAACAGGCCATTCCTTCGTAAAAGTTTGTAGCTTTCTTTCCCAATACATCTTCTTTTTATTGAGAACTTCCATTTTTATCCTGTGTTCCTCCTCTGCCATCTCACACTCTCGCTCTATCTGCTGGATTTTGGCCACATGCACCTCATTCATTTGTATCAGTTGCAGTTGTAAGATGGACATTTGTTGATGGTGTTCTTCCTCATGCATCTTTTTTAAAGCACCTTCCTGAGCATTACTTCACCCATTTCCTTTCTAGTTTTGGATCTGAAAATAGTTTCTTTGAAGACTGGAGACACACAGACATTTTTTGGTACCTCTAGTCTCTTTTCTCTTTGATTTCATTCCGGGCATAGTTCTGGATAATCCTCTGAGAGTCTTTACTTTCATCCCCTCAAAATGCTGCTGTTCTCCCAATTTCTAAATACTCACTTTTATCTCAACAAGTCTAGGCTTTAGAGACTGGATGATGATGATGATGATGATGATGATGCATGATGATGACAGCAGCTACCATTTTCTGAGCAGCTAACCAGGTACTAGTGCTTTACAACACTGCTTCGTCTAATCTTTACAACAACCCTCTGAGGCAGCTGTTATTATAGAAAACCAAATACAACCTTTGGGTAGTTCAAAGAACCAGAATTCTAATCCAAACTCAACCACTTCAGTACCCAGCCTCCCAATACTCCACTTGCTTAGCTGATCACTTATATATCTTAAAACATAGCCTCCAAATTATATCCACCGCAAGCCATCTATTACTAAGAATATGAAAAAAATAATAATAATATGGGTGCATAGTCTGTATTTTGATCTTCAAATTTCTAGAGCTTGAACATTAAGACAGTATAGTATGTTCATGTCTGGGAGCAGAGAAATTATTCTACTTTAAAACTTTTTTTTTTCAGTTTAAATGTGTGCAACATACAAACTTAAAAACAAAAAGCCAGGCCTCCTAAGACTCTGATGGGGCTTGAACTAGAGAAATCCGATGGAGTAGTTAATTAACTTTCACACAAATGTTAGCTCCAATGAATAGAAGCTAGTGTTCAGATGGGGAGAATCTTCTCTTAATTGGAAAAAGACTAGCCTGGGAATGGCAACCTGCTGCAAATACACACCATGTAATCTCTCTCCCAGGTAAAACAAAGCCACCCCAAGTAGAAAACTCAATCTTATGCAAAAAGGGTAGGAATACCTAATGGTTTCCCAGGGACAAGAGAACACAGCCAAGGGAGCACTCTTCCATTTGGGCAATTTGAGTAAGTTTAGTACCAGCGGGAAAAGCCTACTATGGCAGTAAAAGGATGGGAAGGAAATTGTGTGCAGGCCAAACCCCAGCTCTTCCAACAGAACATAGTATTTTAGTACTGACTGGAAAAATGGATAAATAAGATGTGTGGGTGCTTACTACAGACTATAATGCATTAAATAAAAGAAACAAATTAGATTTACCCAATGCAATGGGAATTGATCTTTAAAACATTATTCTAAGTGAAAAAAACAAAAATAAATAGTAGCTACAGCACACGTTTTAATCTATGTAAATTAAAAATATATGCATACAAAACACATGTGAGAGAATACACATGCATTTTAGAATGATTCAGGTGCAGGAAAGAGAATGAGAGTGGGAAATGGGGATAAAAAGGGAACAAACACATCACTAACACAAAAGGGGGCTTTTCACACGCTGGTATGCCATATCTGGAAATACAACTCAGCCCTCTCTATCTGAGCTTCCACCCCAAAAGAATAGGATTGGATTAAACAGTGATAATAAGGGCATTTATTAAGAAATACTCTCATTATTCAATTATAGTTTTATAGCACAGAAATAATAGCATATGAAACTAAATATAAATTCTCATTTGAGTGCTACTCAAAAGCTTAGTTTTCTTAAATGTATTTGCCCTTCAGTCATTCAACCCTTCCTAGCAAACTGTGTTGGCTCCCACAGCTTGTTCTGCACACCTGTTCCCCAAAGATAATGGAAGATAAATGCCCAAGCCAAATTATCACAGATCATAAAATGTGCAAGGTGTAAATTGTTTTAATATATTTAAGGGGGAAATACTGGTTTGGCTGTTTGGCTTGTGTGTGTGTGTGTGTGTGTGTGTGTGTGTGTGTGTGTGTGGCAGCTGGTCAGTATGGGAATCTGAACCCTTGACCCTAGTGTTACAACACCGCACTCTAACCAACTGAGCTAAACAGCCAGCCCCAATACTGCTGTTTTTTGCAAATATATTCCTAAGTGTTATACTTAAATTTTAAGACTACTCTGTTCAAATACAAATGTACATTTTAAGAAAGTCATTGACAAAGCTAAGAATATCCAGGGGACAATGATCAAGCTGACATAGTCAAAACCGTCACACACTAAAACGTAGCTGGAGGGTCGCACACTAAAAAGTAGCTGGAGAGAGGCCTCTAGTGGAATACTACTAGCTCCATCCTGTTTAACATTCTTATAATAAATTCCAACAAATCTCTGAGCACCTAATTCTTTTTTTTGGGGGGTGGGGGCGCTGGCTGGACAGGGATCTGAACCCTGGGCCCTGGGGTTATAAGGCGACACTCTAACCAACCAAGCTAACCAGCCAGCCCTGAGCACCTAATTCTGTAAAAGGCACCCTGTAAGATGTTAGAAAAGTGCTGTCTGATAGAAATATAATACAAGCTACGTAAGTAATTTTAAATGTTCTCATAGCTACATTAAAAAAATAGGGGAAATTAATTTTAATAATATTTTTAATCCAATATATCTAAAATATTACCATTTAAACATGTAATCAATATAAAAATTATAAGTGAGATATTTTACATTTTTTTGGTACTAAGTCTTCAAAATGTGGTGTGTACAATTACCCCACATCTCAATTTGGTCTATCTACATTTCAAGTGCTTATTAGCCTCATGTGGCTTGTGGTTATTGTATTGGACACTGCAATGTTAGAGATAAAAAGGTAAAATACACATACACACACACAGAGTCCATATGTCAAAATTCACTTGATGTAATGAGGGTCATGACCCTATAGGAGATTTTCTATCTTTTTCCCACCAAGTCCCAGAAGGCATGATTGACAATCCAGTCTTTTTTTCCTTTCTTGAAAGTAAATTGAGATACAAAACAAGTGAGATAACCTCAAAGCTGTTTTTATGTGTAGGATAGCTCCAGTACCTTAACTTCTAGTATTAGTAGTATTAACTACTAGCATTAACTTTGGACACACTTCCCAACTGATGAAGCACCAAGGTTCTCCACTGCCCTCTAAATTTGACCCGCAAAGAGAAGCAGGCAGCATTTGGCTGTACTGTAATAATCACCAGCAAAAAGAGGAGTCTCACATGTCATATATGTACAAACATCTAATTTAAAATAAATCTTTTACAAGTGAGTCACCCCCAAATGTCACTACAGAAAGACACTGAGAATCCATACTCATTCCCTTCTTGCTGGAAATTTATAAATTGTGCTTATGAATAAATGAATTATATCATTTCTTCCAAAAAGAAAGAGAAAAAAATTTGTGGGATGAACTTTCTAAATCCTACCTCAGAACTTGAAAATGGGGAAATAAGAATGTCCCCTAAGACAAACCCTATGAAATCAATACACAATAATCCAGATCACAGATTTGTAAAATGAACTGAAAGCAGTTCACAGCAGCATCTTCCTCAGCAACATCTCCCAGGGAGCCTAGTACTGTGAAGAGCAGCCCTGCGGATGCACCTCCTTCCCTCCCCCAGCACCACTCCTTTCGCTGCTTCACAGAAACTGAATGGCTCAGAGGCCAGCAAAATGGGGAGTAACTGGCTGAAGCTATAAGCATCTCCAAAGCAAGGACACTAAATTAGCAGTGGGGTCCATGCACAACAGAAGCAGCAGGAGACGGGGTAAAAGAGTTGGTAGTGCCCATATAAACACGGTCTACTAGGAGGTAGCCTGGCTTGGGAACTCAAGAATCAAAGCCCAGACAAAAAGCTCCTACAGTGGAAAGAGATGCATATGGTTCACAACATTAACCACTATGGTTACCCGACTGACTCCCTGGACTTAACCTTAGTCAAACGATCAGCAAGCAAACTTCTGATCATAGTTTAGCTTCGCAGGATCATCTGCCTACAGGGGGAAAAAAGGCACTAATCAAAAACATGTACTTGGTTCACTTGGTAATTAACTTTTGCACCCTACACAGATAACATTCTTGGTTTTAGACAGTTTCTTGTGACTTTTAATTAACAGGAGCCAGTCCCTCAGAGCTNATAAATTCTCATTTGAGTGCTACTCAAAAGCTTAGTTTTCTTAAATGTATTTGCCCTTCAGTCATTCAACCCTTCCTAGCAAATTGTGTTGGCTCCCACAGCTTGTTCTGCACACCTGTTCCCCAAAGATAATGGAAGATAAATGCCAAATTATCACAGATCATAAAATGTGCAAGGTGACTCCCTGGACTTAACCTTAGTCGAACGATCAGCAAGCAAACTTCTGATCATAATTTAGCTTCCCAGGATCATCTGCCTACAGGGGGAAAAAAGGCACTAATCAAAAACATGTACTTGGTTCACTTGGTAATTAACTTTTGCACCCTACACAGATAACGTTCTTGGTTTTAGACAGTTTCTTGTGACTTTTAATTAACAGGAGCCAGTCCCTCAGAGCTCAGTCTACTCTGCAGACACTGACAAGGGAATTTATCATCCTGCAAGCCAAGAACCAGATTCTCCTGGGCAAATGCTTGCTGGGTCCTTGGAGCACTGTATGTGAGCAACCCTCTGCCCTCCCCAGGA